AGGGGATTTCTAGTAGTCGATGACACTTGGACTCTGCTTGCCGGCGTAAGGCAGCATCTCCCGTTACTTCACAACTGTGTCCAAGCTCTGCGGCATCACCGCAACCCTAAAAAGATGGTGGGGAGCAATTCAAGTCAACGACAAGGAGAGCAATACTGCTGCAATACCACTTCAATGTCTTTGGTGCAGTACTTCATTCTGCTGGTCAGGAACTTTCCATGAGTTGCCAAAGCTAGCAGCGTACTGGGACACAATTCCTCCCATTGTGGTGAAATCATCTACGACAAAGAATGTCAATAAATTACACCACCAGTGAAAAATTCAAAATCATCCATTTTTGGGAGAGTCTTGTCAAAGTTTAATTGACGCACCGTTTGGGTTGTTGTTGTAGATTCCACAAAGCCCCCTAGTGGCTGCCAGATGCTCAGACGTTACTGTCACATAGACACTGTTGACCAGGTCAAACTTCACCCTCACCCCGAGAACACTCTCCACAAACACATAATCTCCAAGCCAGTGGATACTCACTCCTACAAATGGTGAGACATAAATCACGAAAGTAAGTTTTAAATGGGGTTGCATTTTGAGATTTTGCCCATGGAATGCTGATGTCACTATTATCCATATATATTATTGTATGTTTTGCTTCACGTAATAAATAAACACTCAACAAGACGGTTAGAATGCATGTTGAAGATCCTGGACATAAATGTGTTCTTGTTGACGATGCGCGGATGAGTGACAGCCTACCATTTTGAAACAGGGGTTCGCCATTTGGAACGTGAAAGTTGTTGAGGGTTAAATTCCTGTGGTGAATCGTAACTAAGTTAAGACCCATCATCATCTTCAGAGCCTGAAAAGAAAGGCCCATTGACACATTTGCACTGAATGTATAAGAACCACCGTAAGTTCCATTTTGCATTCCATTGTCAAGTAAGCTTTTTCAAAATCTTAAAATATTCCACAATCATATTATCCATGTCGTCGTGGAAGCATGTCATACCTTACTGCAGTCTCCTGCACTGGCACAGACCGTGCTGATGTAGATCGCCCAGGTCCCATCGGTGGATGAGGTTAGCAGGTAAGTGCAGCTACCCTGGAAGTGGAAGTGCTTCTTGTCAAAAGTGCGATAGTGGGATCCACCCCAGGACATGCAGGTGGCTGAGCCTTGAGGCGTCCTCACGCTACTGAGAAGACCCCCACGTACTAGCGGGGAGAACTGCGAGTCTGGAGGTGTGTGAAACAATGTGAGCAAGTCATTGATGAAACAGAGAAGGGCGTTAAGATGCACTTTTGTGTAAATGTGCATGTGCGTTCCCATTTTGGTACCTGGCAGGAGAGTGTAAGTGCAGGACAAGCAGGTCTGGCCCGAGGCATTCCTCCAACTTAATCCCCACTGGCTGCCGCAGCACTGCTCCATCGTCATTAGGGAGGCGTTGTGGACTCCAGGGAACTCTGCACAACTCCAGGTGGAGTAACACTGCCCATGCGTTCCTACACCTATGTGGGAGTAGAGGTATCATGCATAATTTTGGAAAGTGCCCCCAAACCCTCAGTATTTTTATGTGTTAAGTACACAAAATCAAATATTTATTCATTGCATTTTACTGAATCACTTTTTTTTCTCTCTTACCATCTGAGCACTGCTGTCCACTCCACCCTTCACAGCATGCTCGCACTGTCTTGTTCAACATTTGGCTTTCCATAACTGGCAGTCTGAGGTGGGCAGAAAAGTTCGTTGACATCTTCATCATTGTCAGATGCAATACTGGTTGTTGTCACTTCTGTGACAATTGTATCATACATGTAGTTTCTCATATTTTGAAACCTTGGTGAACACATTGCTCCGGGCTGAGAAAAAAAAAACACGAAGCGCCAAGCTTTCCTGCAAAATGTGTGTGTGTGTGTGTGTGTGTGGGGGGGGGTTGAGGGTTTTTTTTTTCCTCGCTGGCTCCAATCCAACATTCAAATGACAAAAATAATGAGCCATTGCCTCGTTTTTCGATTGCCAATTGAAAATACAATACACGGATGATTCGTGTGCAGCGCATTTCACAAAATGCTGAAACGCGTCGCACTGGGTGGAAACCAGACAGCCGACGTCACCATGACGTCGCTCCACCAAAATCATAAAAGCCTCGATACGCTCATCACTAAATAAACTACTGTATTCCCGACCGGGATTACTCGACACACGCAGCGAGGTCGACGACACTGGCAAGTACGTCCCAACGGGATGTTGTACAACGGGATGTTTTCACGCGCGGGTGAATCGAGTATTTGCATGTAACTTTATCACAATGGTGTGAAAGGGAAAACGAGTTTGCCACTCCGCGATATTGCCGATTCAAAAAAAAAATAGTGGCATGTTGTGCATGATGCTTCACATTTTTTCCGCAGCTCCAAACCTCGTCATTAGACACATATTACAGTTCCAGCGCAAGGGTTCCTAATTGCAAGGGTCTGACAAACGACGGTTGGGGTTCACGGACGGCGCGCATGGAACCAGTTTGCACATCGTCGTAAGAATATGTCTAGCGGCATATGATGGCACGCTCGGTTATCGCGGTAATTACCATGTTTTCTTTTCATTCATGTTTTTTATTAAAATGTTTACTGTCAAAAATAATCTCAATAAGTAACGGGACCCGGTACATCCATTTTGTATTGCTTATTCTCATTGGATCCTCGCCCATCTGACTTTGGGCAATTTTAGAGTCTTCAGTGAACCTCAAGTAACTCGCATGTTTTTGGAATGTGGAAGGAATTTCATTCAGAGTAAGCCCACCCAAGCACAGCGTGCGAACATCCAGACATGAATTTGAACCTCCAACTTGAAACTGCGCGCAGTCGGTCTAATTAGTGGATGCTCAATTGAGGTGTCGGAAAGTGAGTCCGGATGATTACTCGGACTTCATCATAAAACGTGTTGTTATTGTATGAAAACATGAGGTACAAACTCAAAAGCTCAGCATTACGCATTTAATGCACCAAAGTTTGCGTGTGGGTGTGCAATGGGTGCGGAAAAAATGCTGAAAGTCTTTGCGACTGATAAGTCACTCTTAGCTCACTATCATATGGACCTTGGGAGCTATAGCTCAAGAAGTTAATCATCCTTAGAGAACTGGTGATGCAGTTCAGTTAATGTTCGGCTACGATGTCAGGTGAGGGTGGGGGATTTTGTGTTTAGCAATGTCATGTCACAGTTGTCCAATGGGGGATTTGCACAAATGTCATTCAATTGCAGTCTGGACACAGACGTGTGAATGACAAAAAATAAAAATAAAAATGAATTGTGGATCATACTGCATGCATAGTTAACATTGTCACTCCTGGCAACCAATCGCTGGAGTAGTCAGCTTTTCCCCTGAAGCAAGTGAAGCCGTATAATAAATGACGGCTTTTATGGCGGTGACTATTTGACCCAGAAAAAGACTATTTCCATTATTTCCTATCATAAAAAAAGTGGACGGCATCTCTGAACCGATAGCATTTCACTGCAGAGGTTTTGCACACTCTCAACATTACTCGTGAAGTGTAGTACATATAGCACGTTTTGCCTCACTCTTAACCTGTAGTTGTCCGACTAGTATGCCAGAGTTGTTCAATTAGTGAGGATGGGGTTATTCCATCGAATAAATGCTCAACCAGCTTTCCGTCACCCTCCCTTTTAATGCTCTAAAAGCAGTGAATGACTTACTTGTACAACGAGCAGAGTGCCTTGAGACCGTGCTGTTGGTAGTAGAGCGCTATGCCATCATCGCCGCCATGCTTCGACCTCATGGACTCCACATCCAGCCTCCAGCCTTGGGTGTTATACTGGTAAACTTCAGAGCAGCTCACCTCCAGCTGCAGGCGCGGGGTCAGGACCCGATCCACTTTTTGCTGTATTGTGTGTTCGCACCAGTGTCTGAAGGAAATGTCCATGTCAGTTAATTCTTTTTGCGACTTTAAACCGCCCGTCCATCCACCCACTATAAAGCTTGTATTCAAAAAATAATCTAGTGCAGTGATGCTCAAAATGTGGTACCCAATTTGTGCTGTAGGGGCTTCCACTAGTTGAATCTTTGCCTAAATCCAGTTCAGTTGTGTTGAACTTTTAGGGGTAATGCATTTACATGTCATCTTCATTTTAATATAATATATTATTTATAATGTATATATTTATTTGCAAGGTATTCAACTTTTTACATTTAGATTGAAGCCTGAAGCGCATTATTAATGTTCAAAATCGGTATGATGTTCAATATTTTGGGGGAATTAAGTCTCATTTTCCATGAACACATTACTGTATTTTAACATTGGTCGTGATGGAGGAGGATTTTTTTTTTTTTTTTGTCCAATGCATGTCTGATATCCCACTACATCCAACAACAACAATAACACAGTTACAGGACAAATTATAAAGCTAATATTATAGGATTTGTAATATTTTTGGTGTATTTAATATGTGCTACTTTGTATAATTTTTTTCATTGATTGTTAAATAATGCATGCAATGTGTTCCCATTCAAATATGCATTTGTTGCATCTTATATGCTTACCCTTTTCCCATAACTGTCTGCAGTCCAGCCAGGGTCAGTAGCAGTGCCTCCACAGTCCAGCAACACATGCTTCAATTACTCTAGGGGAGTGGAAGGTGGTGGTGGTGGTGGTGGTCGACCGAGAGTCATTCTAGGAATCTCCGTAAAGCTCAACTCAAACACAAGAGAAAATACATTTGACATTTGAAACTTTTGAAAGCTAATGTAATTGCTGTGGGACACTGGAGCAATTTAAATATCTTAAATAGATTGAAGATATGACTCTAAAATTCTCACAATGTTGAAAAAAAAGTTCTTACCTTTAAAGTGCTTCTGAAATGTTTTTTTCCCCCCACAGAATGTATTTAGTATTTTAGATATTCTCAATTCTTTTTTTCCTTAAACTATTTTTCTTTGTTATTCAGTCTGCACTGAAATGATATTTTACCTATTGAAAGGGCTGAAGCATGGTTTTTAAATGCGGGGGTCGACTCAAAGGACGTACAGTAGCATCTGAACCTTCGGTCATTGGGTAAGAGTGGAAGGTCACAGCTGGAAGCGCTGGAATTGGACGTCGGCTCTTTGACGGACACATTCCGTGACCTCACAGCGTCAAACGTTATAGAACGTGGGAGGTGACGGTCAGGGGTAGCGGAGCCTTGGTCACAGAATAAAGACATGTTTGTCCAAGCCTAATCCTGTAAAGAGGGGCATTTCGGGAAGGGTGATGGAGCGGTTTATTGAATGAAGCTTGTGCACAGGCATGGGGAACGAGAGAGTCACCAATCTATTCTCTCTGACCTCCCGGCCTGACAATGAGGGCTCAAACACAGCTGTCACCGCCCTACACCTTACTTTTGCCGAGTAGAACAAACATAACAGAGATTACTTCCAAAAGGTGATCCGTTGATACCAGTCATTGCCATTTGAAAGGAATAAGTTATGTCGCAATATTATGCTCTTTATTGGTAGTAGTATTTTGGCAGAAATGCAGGCAACCATTCCTGTTTTGGGACTTATCCTCCGTTGATTTGCCTAAAACTCAATGAGCCATGTCTACTGTAAAAATAATGCTTTGTCGGCATCTGGTGGCATCTTGGTGCTTCGAAACTATGTTGAACTGAGGGAAGTAGCTTCAAAAATCCAACCATAGCGTTGCATAATAGAAAAAGGTGCTTTGCCGCATCCATAGGCAATTTGAAACCTTTGTGTGTCGGCATCAATTGCTTGCCAATGAATGGATGGATGGCATCAAGGCTCTGTCCTTATCCCCTTTAATCTTACCCTACTGTAATCTTAATATGATTTTTTTCCACAGCTTTATCAGTTATGGAGGCAGTTGCCGTTTTTCTTTCAATGATACATTATTTATAAAGCAGACTGGGTTTTTTTAATGTGAATGTGTCCTTGAGTAAATGTGTTTGTTGACTTTGCTGACTCACTGTCAGGTTCTGTTTTGGCACACTAATGCCGCCAAGTTTGGAAAATGTTTTTTCTGTCAAATATTTGAAGTAAGACTGGAACTGCAGGTAGCACTAAATCTTAATAGCATCAGCAAATATTTTGACCAAACAATACAGCCAATTAAATTTGAATCATCTGAAAACTTGACATTTTGACACACCGACATATTGTAACTATGTAGTCTATCTTGAATATATGCAACCCCCCCGCCCCCCCCAAAAAACAACACATCAGCAACATAAAAAGAGAGTGACCAATTCAGTTCTGTAAATTTGAAAGGTCAATTGGAATGGAACTTGTTATTACTGTTGATATTATTCTTTTGATGCTTTCTTTGTTTGTCTTCCCTAATTGTTTTTTTTTTTTTTTTGTATTGACTTTTAGCAATGAGGCTGCTCTGTCTGCTGTGTTTGTTCTGCCTGGCTGCTTGTGAGGCTTCCAGAGCACGAGACTGGGCTCATCACGGTGCGCCCATGTTTGCCGACCTGACGCCTCGCGAGATGAAGGCCGTCCGGGCTTACCTCTGTGGAATTGCAGAATTTGGACTCACCGATGCAGATAACATGGCTGTCAAAAAGAACATCATCCTGATGATGGAGCTCCAAGTGCCAAAAAAGCATGAAGCCTTGAGGGCCTTGGACCGTGGTCAGGCCAAACCTCCGCGCCAAGCTCGTGTGGTTATCCAATTTGCTAACCAAACCAAGCCCAATATCACTGAGTTTATTGTCGGACCTCTACCATCTCCAAAGTCTCACGAGGTGAAGAAGTTCAAGGGAGATCGGCCTATCCCATTCGAGTCAAGACCAGTAACGGGAATGGAGTATCACCATCTTCATCACAACATTGGCAAATTCACAGCAAAAGCTCACAAGCTTCTGTTCGAGAGCACAGGAGGATTTACATTCACCAACTGCTCCGATCGCTGTTTGTATTTTATCGACATAGCCCCTCGAGGGCTGGCTTCAGGTGAGAGGAGGTCCTGGATAATGTTGGTCAAGTTTGTGGAAGGATATTATATTAATCCCATTGGGTTTGAAATACTAATCAACCATAAAGACTTGGATCCAGATAAGTGGACTGTTGAGAAAGTGTGGTATAACAGTATGTACTTTGATAGTGTGGAGGACTTGGTCGAAAAGTATGAATCGGGAGCTGTGGAGAAGATCCGTCTACCCCAGCATGATGACACTGATCTCTACTCCACCTACATCCCTCGGGGTCAAAGCAACACTCCCACGGATATCCACGGCCCAAAACTTGTCGAGCCTCAAGGGCGCCGCTATCACATTGATGGCAACTTTGTTGAATATGCCGGATGGTCGTTCGCCTACAGGGTGCGTTCATCAGCCGGACTTCAGGTCTTTGACGTCCGTTTTAATGGCGAACGGATTGCCTATGAGATCAGCCTCCAAGAAGCGATTGCTTTCTATGCTGGAGACACTCCTGCAGGCATGCAAACAAAATATATTGACACGAGTTGGGGCATGGGCGCCTTATCATTTGAGCTAGCCTCTGGAATAGACTGTCCAGAAATTGCCACCTTTGTCGACCTTTACCACTACTTTGACACCGACAAACCAGTGCGCTTTAGAAATGCACTCTGTATATTTGAGATGACCACAGCTTTGCCTTTGAGAAGACATTTCAATGTATTTGGGGGAGGGTATACCTTCTACGGAGGACTAGACAACACTGTGCTGGTGTTACGGACCACTTCAACTGTTTACAACTATGATTACATTTGGGATTTCATCTTTTACCAAAATGGGGTGATGGAGGTCAAGGTCAGCGCCACTGGCTATATCCATGCTACTTTCTTCACGCCAAATGGACTTAAGTATGGCCGCAAGGTGTACAGCCATGTGCTGGGAAACCTGCACACGCATCTCATCAATTACAAAGTTGACCTGGATATTGCCGGTAAGAAGGATATATTCGCACACCCTGAACTGATTGCCAAGCAATTGCAGGCCACACATAGATAAACAACCATTGGCGCTCACACTCACACTTGGGGACACTTTATAGAGTATTCCATTAACCTGCCATACATGTTTTTGGAATGTGGGAGGAAACCAGAATACCCAAAGAAAACCCATACAGGAAACATGCAAACTCCACAGAGGAAGGCCAGAGTCGGAATCGAACACCTTTGCACTGTCATTCTAATGATTAGTCCCATTCTGAGTCAGAATGACTGTACACGTCGTATAGATTACATTTATGATGCAGCCCAAGGCAGTTAAAGTGTAAACAAACCAATTCAATTTGAAATCTAATCGCTGATGATCGCAAGAGATGCTTTTGTGTGCACAGTAAAGCCAGATGCTTTGTAGTTTGTTTGTGTTTCTTCTGACTATTACTTGTTCCAACACAGGTCGGGAGAACAGCTTTCAGAGTATGAATTTGAAATACGTCAACTTCACAAATCCCTGGAGCCCCAAGAATTTCATCGTCCAATCCAAACTCAATTGGACGGAACATAAGACGGAGCGTTCTGCCGCCTTCCGCTATGGCAAAACGTTCCCTCACTATGTCCATTTTTACAACCCTAATGAGAAAAATAAGTGGGGACATCAAAAGGGCTACCGTATTCAGTTCAACTCGCATGGTGACAGTGTGCTTCCAAGAGGCTGGAAAGAAGAAAACGGCATCAGTTGGTCAAGGTAATTCCATTTGCGAAAAAGTACATTTATTTTTGGGGGTTCTATAGAGCTGACTGGGTATTATTTTGTGTGTGTTGGACCGTGAATTTGTTTTCTCTTTGGCTGACAGATGATACGATAAACATTTGTTTTCGTCAGATATCCTCTGGCCGTTACCCGTCATAAAGATAGTGAGGCCACCAGCAGCAGTATTTATAATCAGAATGACCCCTGGAAACCTGTCGTGGCATTTGAGGACTACATCCGCAACAACGAAAATATTGTCAACCAGGTAAAAAAAAAATATATTTTTGGATTAAATTGCAAAAGTAATATTTTGCACAATTTTTCACTTTGTTGGTACTGTCTGGAACACTTCGTGATGAGTCATATCAGGTTGTGCAAAGTCAAGGCATATGCTGGCATTTTCTTTCTTCCTGTTTACATGTTCAAGCACTTCAATGAACATGTTATGTAGGCTGATGACAAATGTGAGAGTAATGTTGTCTTTCTTGTGAGTAGGATCTGGTTGCCTGGGTGACGGTGGGCTTCCTGCATGTGCCTCATTCAGAAGACATCCCCAACACGGCAACACCTGGCAACGCAGTGGGCTTCTTCCTCCGACCCTTCAATTTCTTTGATAAGGACCCTTCGGTCGCATCGAGAAGCACGGTCATCGTCCGACCGGGCCCGGAAGGGAAGCCCGAAGTTCAACGGTGGACGCCAGCGGTCGTAGGTCATTGTGTGACAGACAAACAGTTCTTTTACAACGGCACTTATGCGGGTGTTTAGGAGATGTCGCTCCTCGGCTTTGTTTGACTCGCCTGAGAAAGATAACCAACCAGCAGTGTGGAGTTTCCACATAACTTCTATAACGTTTCAAAAAAACATAAATATGAAGAGGTTCACTATCGTGTTCATTTGGTCTTAGTGCATTTAATTAATGTGGCCAACTAATCTTGCATTCAAGTCATTGAGTTGCATTAATTCATTGACCCTAGGTTTCACTTTGCACGACATGTCAAAAAGGGGACGGGGCGACCGCTTCTGCCAATCCAACGAGGCATTACCATGGCTGAGGCTTAGCAGTGACCGGCATGCAGGATGCAGGATGCAGGATGCTCCGTATCCGCACAGCGAGTGGTAAACCCGCTGGCTCACAGCATGCTCTGCTTGCCCTCTTAGCTGGGATGTTTTGACCCGAAAGGCAACAAGGCTCTGAGTGCAAACAGTCTGATACTGGATCCTTTGCGCAAACAATCCAGGATACCGCTTGCTACCATGGTAACCTAATTATATAGGGACAAAATATGTCATGTAGCATCATATTTCCAGATAGATTTCTGGCGTACTGATATCACAGGAAATGCAGGAAATGGTCAAAGGAAATACAGTTATGGAATCACATAGTACTTGTTTTCTTTTGCATCAATGAGACGCTAAAATGTACAGTATGTCAAACCTTGTGAATGGATCTGTATGGGTGTCAGTAAATAGCAGCAGTTTACTTGTGTGAGCCAAAGGAATTGTCAAAATCTGAAGTCGGTTTTATTTGTGTGTCAATGTCCGTGTTAAAAGTTCAGAGTATGAGAGCTATCCACGTATTAGGGAATGAACGATGGAAGGGAAGCGGACACAAACTAGAGTAACAAGAATTCCTATGTTATTGTCATGGAGATGACGGCCATGACGTCACACAAGAAAAGTTAGTGGGAATATAACATACACTAAATGTATTTTAAAATGGCATGCAGCATCCTTAAAAACCAGAGCGGTGTTTTAATTTAGTCACGCAATAATGTTTGAAAATGATTTGTCTGCCCTCTTTGTTCGCTTAAAGTAGAAATGTGTTTTATTTTACTTAAGAAAATGTTGATGAAAACATTTGGGTGCAGACTGTAACAGCTTCCCATAAAGCTGTTCTTGTTTCCTGTTGGTTCTGTCTGTTAATTGGGTTTTATGCATTTGTTGTCGTCTTTATAGCTGAAATCTGTGAAATAAAATTTGAAAAAACTGCGTACAGTGAAAAACATACATCACTGAAACGTTACATCCAACATTATTTTCTACTCATCAAAGATGAGCTTTTCTCCAGCAAGACTTCTGAATCCCCCATGATGTGTAAGATGTAAGGCTACCAGGAACAAAACGAATGGTCAGTGTGAAGGAACATTCGACTTTGATTGTTTGTCAGTAGTAGCACGTACACTCAACCTCCATCCATATTTTGGGAAGCTTGGCTAAACCAGTCTTTCTACGCCCCCTGCTGGTTGTGTGATACTGTACACACAGATTCGGAGTTTAGCAAAGCGGTCCCCGACATCCCGACTGCGTTTCGACGTTACGAGCGAAAGGGAAAGAGGCGACTACGTTGACACGCTCATGTATAATCACACAAATTGCTATTCTCATTATGACTGTCGGCTTCGTAAGTCACAGACACAGACTTCCAATTTACTGCACGATTGCACGGGCACACCTGGGTAAAACGCATGTAGTCGTAATAGTAATGCTGGTTCACGTAATTAAACTACTAATAAACTACATTGTGAACATGAACGAATACTGTCCCTGCAATCCTTGACAAATTTGATCTCTCCACTGTTCATCCAATGACAGTGTAACGCTGTCGTTTGGCCAGTAGAGGGTAGTCACTCCGTTTATATTTAACAGTAAAATTTAACAGTAAACCAATTCCACCGGACTCGATTTAGATGAGGTTTTTAAAATAAATAAATCTGTTGATAAAGATAGGCGGCAGCATTGACTCGGGTAAAAGGGTTATGGCACCCCAATATAGAATTATATACGGCGCCCTCAACAAGATTTTTTAATGGCGCCCTCTTGTGTCAGTGATTATACATGCATTTACAAAAAAAAATAAATTAAAAACGATGATTTTTTTTTTTTTTACAAACAAAACAAAGCTGATAAATATTGTCGAGTATAGTTAGAAATCAGCCAAGAGAGGGTGGCAGGAGGAAATAGTTGGTATGGGGAACAGGTACATCGTCGTCGGCATTTATTTGATATTAGTTGTCCACTGTCTTAAACAACATGGCTTTTTGACAAAGGGCCAGATGCCTGGTGTGCTCATATACTTTCCAACATACACATCTCAATCCCCAAGGAATAGTGCTGCCAAGCGGCCCAAGGGATCTTGTTACAGCATGACATCTGCAGACAAACAAAAACAAGTTGACTGTTTGTGTCTCCGACCGCTTCCATTAACTCTGCTCCTATACCCTCTGGAGAATGCTTTGTGCTCCATATGCTCTGATTCACTAACATAGTGTAGGTTTTACTCAGATGCTTCTGCACCACCAGACCACTCCCATGAAGAGATCTTTTTTAGAGTCGGGTCAATAAGGTAAAATGTGTCTCACGAAAACACTTACACAGCATTACCTCAGGCGCCAGGTTGTCCTCGGCCTGCCCTTGGGGGACAACAGTCTCTGTGGCAATCGAGCAATTGCATAGAACAAAGGGAAGCCGTAGGTCAAATTGATTATCACAATAACAGAATAATTTGACAAACGCTATTCTGTTCTCTCACTCTTTAAAAAAAAAACAAATAAAAGCAGCAAATTTGATATTTGGTGGCACTGTTTGCATCAGTAGCGTAAACGTGCCTGTATGCAGTCCCGACAACGTCTGCACATACTCCTGAAAAGGTGGCAGATGGCCTCCTGGGGGATCTCTCCCCAGACGTGGATCAGTCAGTGAAGTCAGTCAGGCGGCTGCTGTCCATTGTGCGATGCAGGAGCAGTGGATGCATGCAGAGATGATAGTCCCAGAGGTGCTTGAGAGGATTCGGGTCTGGGCAACATGAGGCTTTGTGTAATGGCGTGGAGCCCCCAACTTCATCTTCAAAATCAGCTCCTCTCTTGGATCCCTTAAAATTTGCTAAGGTGCTAACGTCAACGCCTTCGTCATCACCTGTTTTGTTGTTGTTTTTATCACTCTTGTTTTAAATCTCTTTTTAAACATAATCATTCCAGAAGTTATCTTCTCACACGGACACACATCTCTCTTTTGTATTTGTAATTTCTTTTTGGCATTTTGTTAAAGCAAGCGTCGCTCGCAGCTGCGCATGCGACGTCACGACGAAACTAAATGTGGGCGGTTCGCCAAACTTGGGGTGGCTGGTTGATTGACAGCGCTCTCGTCCAATGACGGAATGTGGGGGGCGTGCACGTGCACACTGTAATCAAACCCTCTGATCAACTGTTGAGTGTGGGTCTGCTTGTTCACTGTTGTTACTGCACGCGTCGGTCGCTCACCTCGTCGCCTCAGTTTGGGGTCCCGAACAAAGCGACAAAAGAAGGGGAGCTACATGGGCGACAGGTTCGTGGTCGTCCCGGTTGACGGGGGGGAGATCGCCCAGCACCCGGGCTCGGTGAAAGCCCAAGCGGCGCGATTGACCGGCGGCGATGGTCAGGATGAGGAACCTGGGTTGGAAGAGGACGCGCTGTTCAAACCGCAAGACCCCAACGCCGCGGTGCCCATTCTGGAGTACAACAGGGAACCCAACAAATACGGTGAGTCAGCCGGGCCGTTGCTCCAGTGCAGTGCCCCACTTCTTATCTCTTGTTGGATTAGCCGTGTGCTTTTCACTCGTGCATGGTTTATCTTTTTGCACTGTGGGATGAAAATTGTCATGACGCGGCGCTGAAACAGAGTTCCGTTATTTTGGAGGTATGAGCCGCAAAACAAAAATCTGCACTATATTTCATGTATTTATGTTAAAGTGGTGACGTTAAGGCAACTTTATCCAACCAAACAATCAAACGAGTGAATAACAATTCTAAATTGTGGTTGCGTCCGTTTTAGCCACATCTAAACACGTAACTAACTGCACTTGTTTTTTTTCTTCCCAACACGAGATATAAAAATAAAAGAAAAAATGAGTACAACTTAAAATGCGCTTAACCCTTAAATACTGTTCACTTACCACTCACACTTAACACTCACGTGGACCCAGAGAATATCCTCCATAATAATCGTGTCTTCCAAATTAAAGTTGGGTTTTTTTTCCCCCAGTGAATGTATTGTAACTCCCTTTTATGTAAATAAAAGATGATAACATTCCTTCAAGAGCTGCAATCGGCCGCAACTCAGCCCAGTCACTCCACACACCGTCCCCACTTGAGCCAGCGTTCAAGCTTTAACTGTCACCATCAAAATTTACCATGTCCGCTGCAAAGCATGCTGGGATGTGTGCCGAGTCACAATCGGGCTACAGGAGTCATCTAAAATGCAGAACTGGATGGTGAAGGAAAACAAGCATTTTGTTTCTAGACTGTTGGTATTAGTCACCGTGGAGATGGATTTCTTTGCTGACTTCCTGGTCTAGAAACAAATGATTAGTTACAGTAGTTCCTTTTATGAGTATTGACATTACATTGACATCAGAGCTTCAGTTGTATATGTAAGTGAAGTCTGCTATCTAGAGTGCTAAGACAAGCCGTGCCAGTGTTTTGCGTCATTGGCTAAATGAAATTAAAAAATGTATAGAATTTCATACTAAATCAAATTACGTTCCTATGAGGAAGATGTCTGTGCTGGTTATGTATTTCACTCAGTCACTTCAAAAATAATCTCATTTTGAATGTATTTTAATCTGTTTACTGGTAGTATGCCCTGGATGCCTCTGCCCAAATCATATTTTTGATTGGTCAAATGAGTTTAGTTGGATGGTCTGTCAAGTCAATGCAATAATGTGACCGTAATGTAGTTGCCACAGGGCTTTTCTTAGGTTTTCGACGCTAATCAGACCTGGTGTAGAACCACACAGGCTTTACAATATCTTTGTAACTGGATCCAAAATGCCGGCTCAGTCAGTACGGTAAATGTATTATTTGAAGGCCAAATGCATTGTCTCATTTTTCAGACAGGAAAAGAAAATGGCCCCGCAAGTGTAATGCATTCACGCCGGCATCCACCGTCTTAGACAAACAAAGTTCTATCATAATAAGCACCAAAATATGTGTCCCTCTTCGGATTTGCTCTGCACCGTTTCATTTTCACGCCACCGAATCTTGCAGTCATGCGAGGTGCTGCGCCCCGCCGGGGGCTGCTCAGAGCCATCGAAACGAGAAGGGCTCAATAAACGCAGGTCATTCATTACAGGTGAAACATCCTTTTGACTCGTGATGAGGATTGCAAAAGAAAGTCTCTGGGGACATTGACAAACAAGTGTGGTTAATAGGATGCAGTGGTTTTGAGGAGATGGAAACGTTTAATGCAAGTGCACTATTGATGGAAGAATAGTGGCTACTCAAGTGATTATCCTTTTGAAGGTGTTTAGACCATCCAGAATTGATTTTTTTTTCCTGTTCCATAGTCCATCCATCCATCCATTTTCAACCCCTCTTATCCTGAAAAGGGGGGGGGGGGGCGTCGCAGTGTTCCTTTGTCTTTCTTGTCAATAAATGAGTTGACATTGTCACTTGTCTCAAATGAAATGTGTCAATCAGAAAATCATTTCACTGAGTTTTCAAGCCAGCTTGTTACAGAACAGGAAGTTTGAACTTTTGTACATTTCCTGTTACAGTTGAATAATTTGCTCGACCTGTGACCTTTGCTGTAGCCAGCTGTAAGACTCAGACTGACACATTTACAGTATATTCTGTGCAGATGTGAATAGTCATGACAAATGGACAGGCGTGATATAAATTTAGCAATTGGTAGAAGACTGCAGCCCACTTCTCATTCAAAGTCAGCTCCTGTCCGTTGACTCACTGCGTTATGACGAGCTAAATTCAGTTCATGAGCATTCTGGATTACGGACCATCACTGTCCGTCATTGCCCTTTTGTGCATGCCGGCCATCCCTATTGGAGTCGCTTGGGGAAGATTAATTCATCCAACAGGCATTAGTCACTTCATCGATAAGTGGTTGTGCGATATGATCACACTCATTATGTTGGAATATGCGAGTGATGTAACCGCATGCAATTTAAGATGCGCATTACGTTTGGATGCGTGCGTGTGTATTCCTATTTAAAAAAGGCACGCACCTTCGGTGTCATGTGCCGACCTCTGCTTTATTTGGAGCCTATCAGTCAGCACACCAACTGAGCTCCGGCATCCACTTTATCTGCTCTTGCTCTTGTGTGCCCTCCCTTTTCTGCACGTCGTGTATGGTCCAGTCGTTTTTGTTTTAATGCAAAGTTGGCAAGAAGGGTTCGCCCACCCATTGGTCAAAGACATTTTCAGAGAACAGTTAAAAATGTGGATATGATGCTTGATGCGGTCAATGTGGAAAAAGGATCATCGGCGCACAAAAAATCCCAGCGTTACTTTGTTCAGATGAATCGCGTAAAATTTGCCCAGCCGTAAGTCACATTTGCTTGGAAAAATTATTGGACAGGCAGTATAAAAATGGCAATTGGAGTGCAAAAATTTGTCATCAGCCAAAGTTGTAACCGATCCTCACACACAATACAACTACTGGATCTTATTATAGTGCCACCAACAGAGAAGGAGAGAGAGAGGCTATAAAGACAGGTACACATATACACATTCGCTTAATAATAGCAAACGTGATTATGGCTTTGAGGCTTTGTACAGCTTGTATAGTTTGCCGCATGGTGAAGAGAAATTATTAATAACTGCGATAGCAAGTAGCGGGCAGTAAGAGTTCCTAGGCGGTTTCGTCAGTGGGTATCAGATGTCAGAAATGTGTAGGGACGTGTATCATGTTCTGCGCGTGTCTGAATGAATCACCAAAGGTGAAACTCAGAAGTGGTCCAGAAAATGAATGCTTGTAGAGCATCTGTGGTCGGCTCTCATTTAAAAAGATGAGTTTTCAATGAGTTGTGAAATACTTTGTGGTGATATGTAATTTACCACAGCTAAATACCCCTCAGAAAACAGCTATCTGAACAGCTTGTATCGCAAGTGGATGAATGGCAGTGTCTGTTTGGCTTGTTATACGCTTGTATACCAGTTCTCTTTCCATGAGCAATCAGCTAGCCATGGAACTTTTTTTTTTTTTTTTTTTTTAAGGCGGCGAGGGGACAAAAAGGCTCAGTCACCTTTTCCCCTTCTGGGTTTTGGAAACTCTGACAGACTGAGAGAGAAGTGGCTGGTGGCATTCTGTGTAAGTCAGTCAGTGCTGGATTCAATTGTTTTTCTATCTTCAAGTGCATGTCGGGTTGACAGACGTGTGCTGTGGGCTCGCCAGTCCACAAATGATACAATTTCTATAGGACTGCTGTCCCGGTGACGCTGTATGTTGCCGTATTTCCATGAGTGTCCACAAGAGGGCGACAGAGTAACAGTCAGCTAAACTGTGTGGCGTGTGACAGTTTGCCAGGATAGGATCAGGGCACTCACTCAGTGTCAGGGCACTCACTCCAGTAACAGTGTCGTATTGACGCTGTGACTTTAATGACCTTAAAAACTTGGATTGTCGCAAAACTATTTTTGCATTGAGTCAAGTCAACAAAACTGGAACAGAAAGGCCTGAGCCCCACTGCTTTATAAGGCATTGGCACATTGATGGTCACGGTAAAGGGTTGCATTTCCAAAGAAGATGCAAGTCTCTGGAGAGAGACGAATGGCTGGTATTCCTGGAACACATCCATCCATCAACATCTATTTTGTTCATCCCGTATAGGGGGGAGCAGGGAGCTTGCAGTCGACTGTAGCTTCTGTTTCTAAATGTAATCTCCTCCGGAGTTTCCATTTTTCCAAAACACAATTTACATTTTAACTGTATTATGCTGCAACTAAAAATAAAGATGTCAGTCAAAGTATATCTACACGGAATGAATAGGGGAATGTCTGTCAAGGAATAATATTTCACAAATCTCCTTCACTGGGCCCTTTTGGCAAAGATTAATCGTGTAATCATGATAAAACCAAAGTACACGGTCACTACATGTGAAAGACTGGAGCGCTCTGTCATTACTCAACTGCAACCCCATCTCCACTCTACCAAACGGTACAAAACGTCTCACTTTTCACACTCTGCTTGAATTGGGGCCAAGTGCAGCGGTAATGGACAGGATACACCCCAAAAAAAAAAAAAATCTGCGTGGCACTCGCTACCCTCTTGGTAATGCACCGAAGAGGAACACTGATTAGGACGGAAGACCGAAGAGGAAGCAGTTTGTCATGAGTCGAAACAAACACGTTGGATGGTTTAAGCCCTTTGTGAGAGAGCAGAACAATGAGGGCATCATTGCAACTGGCCACAAACATGTCAACATGACGACTTTCCCATCCGGTATCAGTGATTTCATTACCGGTAGTTACTAGCGGGCCGTTGGCTGTGTCGCAGTTGTCATAGCTGACTTTTAGGCAACTGGTGCGGGATTGACTGCCTCATAATCACCCAGGGATTGAGGGTGTACTGTAGTCTGCATGTCGTCAGATGGGCTAGGCTTCCTCGTGCGTAAGCGGCACAGGAAATAGACGGACGCATTAAGTCAGGGGTCCCCAACCTTTTTTGCCCCACGGACCGGTTTATGTCAGACAATATTTTCAGGGACCGGCAATTAAGGTGTGGCGGAAATAATACAACAAAATAATATGGTATGAGCTGCATGAAAACTGTGGTGTTTTCGAAATATAATAATAAACACAAGGAGCGTCTAATCTGGCCGCAACACTCTGATCGCTATGGTCATGTTTAATGCCTTCAAAATACGATGCAATGCAAATTCAAAGTGCATGAAAATGACGACTCACCACAGCCCCGAGCTTGATTTTCTGCAACCAGACGGTCCCATCTCGGAGTAATAGGAGACAATGACACCTCAAGTGTGTGTTTTGCGTCAAGTCTACTTCGTAATTTTGTTTTAGTCGCCGTTGCTGCAGAAAAGCCCCGCCTCACACAGGTAGGATGTCGGAAATAGCAACAGTGCTACTGTGGCGATCTCAGAATATTCAGCCATAACTTTTATCCAGTTGTCTCGAACGTACTTTTAAGGCCGCTGTCATTTGATCTCCAGCAGTTTTTTTACTCATTTTGCGAGCTCTGGTGTTTTTTTTTTAAGCGGAATCGGTCACGTGACGGGGGAAAGCGTTGCTTGACGTGTGTCAAGCGTGACACACACGGATGGGTCCGCGGACCAGCGGTTGGGGACCCCTGCATTAAGTGGTCGCCAAATAATGTACAACTTCAACGTGTGCTAAACCCTTTTGCGGATTTGCCCCGCCCGCCGTTGAAATGCATGCGGAGTCAAATAACACATCATAGGAAGTGCGTGTCCTTGAGAAGGAAATCTCCCTCTGTGGCGTGCTCGGGACTTCCTGCTCTCTTTGAACAAAAGCTGACATTGCTGGCGAACTGCCTCAGGCGCAGAAAAGACATCACAGACGTGCTCCCATACACACAAGCACACATGCGTTTCATTTTTCTGTGAGTGTGTGTTTGTGTGTGTGTCTGTGTGTGTGTGGTGTTCAGTTACTGCCCCCTATAGGGGCGGGTCTTCCTTATTTGGATAACGGGGTTGTGGATTTCATAGCACAGAGTGGTCTTCCAGCGATAAGACACAAAACTTTTGAAGACTCTGGAAATACTAAAGCTGAGTGAATCGGAAAGAAAAAAAAAAACCTTTGAAAGGAAAAAAAAGGAGCAAAGGTAAAAGTGAGAACAGCTGGACGGCTGAAGGGAGCAGACCAGCCAAAACGGCGAGAGGCAGAGACGGAGATAAGGCGGTGGCAAACAAGGAGACATTGAGAGGGAAGCACATGGTGTAAAATGCCCACAAATTTCACCGTGGTCCCCGTGAAGGACAGCTCGGGAAAGGCGAGCGAGAGGATCGAAGAGGACGATGGCGATGAGAACGATGAGTCGAGGGAGAACGAGGACGCCGCAGGTGAGAGCGGATAGTTTTTGCATCTTTGGGATGGATGAGGAGTAGTCATTACGTCAAGGCAAATGTGTCATTTTGGTTTGCCGGTTGATGTCATAGCCATGGTTAAAGCCTTTTTTACACGCACTGTATTTATTCAGCCCCAAAAAAAGTTTATGAAGTGGTGTTGGGAAATACTCCTTGGGTCATAAGTGCGTTGATAAGTGTTTTGAAAAGACATTCTTTGGCATCATTTCCTCGTTTTGGTTCCCGCTAGCAAGTTCTTTGGCAGATTGTCTTTGGCCTCTATCTTTTCTTCGATAAGCCTTCATTTTCAGCTCTTTTTCTCTTCGCATGTCTCACCATACTACAGTTCCAAAATAAACTCCTCAATCCATCTCCCATGGGATCCCTTACTCATCTGAATCTCAGGGTATGCAAACAACTTATCAAAACCTTTGCACGACGCCTTGGTTCAGGCATGACACAATCACATTCCGGTGCCTTCGGGTTCAAGACAAAAGATACGCATGCACATTTGCAAACCGAGAACTCAAATTAGATACCGAGAAACGTCCGTGGCAATTCTTTCGCTTTAGAATCTGAACAGCCAACCAAAACTACTGCGTAACACTGAGATTGTAACACTGATTGTCGTCTGTGAAGTTGTATTCACTGTGACGCCGCAATAAGCCTTCCAGCTGGTCGGGATTTTTACAGACTCCAGGTTAGAGAGCAGTGTTTTATTGTGACCATACAGGGCAGGGCTGCTGTCTAATTGAGTTTTCCTTTCGCGCATAGCCAAGGCACAGGCAACAAAACCGAGAGAAAGCAAGCTATCCGAAAGATTATTGACTGAAACTCAAGCACCTCTGAATGTGGTCAGCTTCCACATGTATTTTGTGTCGCTGTTTGAAGAATACCGGATATGTTGGATAAGGCCCCTACACAAGTGGAATCATGCTCAAATATATTTATCAAAATAATAATGATATATCTATTTTTTCCCCCTCAGATGCTGTACTGTAAAAGTCTTGGTTCATATGCAGTTAAATCCGATTTGAGTAAGATCCAAGGGAGGGTCTGAAAGCATGTTGTTGCCTCATGAGTACGAGTGAAGAGCGGAATGGTTGTTAAATAGCAGTTTCTGCTATTGATTATTCTGCTGGCTGCCTTCCCGTTGGCTGCGTAGGGGGAGGTGAGACACATGCCCCTTTCTTACCCTCATAAAGCCTCGTTGGAAAAAAAAAATGCTGCTTCACAGATAAGATCACTTTGCGCAAACATGTGAGCCTTGGTTGTTTTTAACCCGTAAGCGTCTCCCATCTGTAAAGAGCGAACGGTGATTTCATTCGTGTCATGCAAACTGGACACACTGAACACAGTACCGCTGGCCAATTGGCCCATCTGCCCTCGACATCTATTTCCTGCTTATTCGCTCACCAAATCTGTTGGTGTTTAACAATATTTGTGCTTTTTCTCCCCCTCTTGCTTTCCTGTCCTTGGAGCCCACATCAGGTGATTGTTCAGCTGCTAGTGGAGTTTACTCTGATGCTCTTGGCAAAATCTCAGTCCTCATCATCTTTTTGGACGAGTCATTTCAAGGACAATTCTGTGCATACAGCTGTTTGAAATACTGGCTGGAATGACTTGTATTCTTCTTATGGCTTGCATCTATCTGAGCAGTCACAGATATGAACAATGCAAACTTTGGTCTCAGCGTGGAGAAGAAAAAAATCCATAAGTCAAAATGTTCAGCTCTTTCTGACTTCTACTTCCTGTTTCCATTTCACAGACCCCCCGCCCCTCCCCGTCCCTCCCCACCACCAGCTCCCTTCTGTCAATGTGGTCTGTGTGATAAGACTCACACACACTCCGCTTCGAATTCCTCCCTTTACCTCTGTATTTTAGGCTCAAAACTACAATTCAGATCAGTCTGTCAAGAACTGCTTTGCAAAAATAAAACATTCATTTGAATTCAGTTCAAATGTCACTGGAGTTTTATCTTCATTTGGACACCAGGATGTCCCAAATTCCTCTTTTTGGGCGTGTAGACTGTAATTTCTAATGCTTATCACAATTGTTTTAAAACTTTTTTTTTTTTTGTCTGTGTTTACATTTTCTGATACTAGTTCATAAATAGAATTCCTAGAAAATCACAATGTCCCATTCCTGGTAAATGGCTTATACATGGCTTGTATGCATTAATGCACAATCCCGCTACAGTCTCATCTTGTGGCAATGGACCAGTCCGGCAAGCATCAATTTTCTCGAGCCCTCTCCCCTGAGCCAGCCGTAGCCCCCCCGCGCAAAGCTGGGCCTGCAGGCGACGCGCTACGGCACGTCTGCACAATGACTGCCTGGCGGGGGATTTTTCGTTCTGCCGGCGTCAAGCGATTTAGTAGTTGAATTAGTTCAATGTGTTTACCGATTCAGAATCAGCCAAGTAAAATGGTATCAATGAAATCAACTGACTTGTGCTTAATATTAAACATAAAAATATTCCAGTGCAACCAGCTATAACAACAAACGAAATGCAATTGTACTTGCTGTGGATATTCTTTTCATTTTATAGGCAGGCCAATATCAGGGTAATGACTGTTTTAAAGAAAAAGACTCAAGGTGATAAAAATGCTTGTGTGTGGGCTTTATTGCGTAATCGTCTCGGATGAACACAATACAGACATTTTTAATCCAAGTAATTAGCTGATGTCGCATGAATGTAGTCACGTGAGTCTTGTAGTTAAAATTCACCGTCGTCCTATCTGACTGAGGTCTACTGAACCCAAAACCCTGAAGAGACACCAGTACACTGTTTCACGTGTTACATAACTGACTGTTGTTTGCTTTAGGGTTTAAGGGCCGAGGATATCATGAACAGTTCAAAATCACCGTCGTCCTATCTGAGGTCTACTGAACCCAAAACCCCGAAGAGACACCAGTACACTGTTTCATGTGTTACATAACTGTTATTTGCTTTAGGGTTTAAGGGCCGAGGATATCATGAAGTGGAACGTCCACAGGCATGCATTGCACTTAGCCACGCTGAAATTGATGCCATCTGACACCAAACTGAGTGGAGCTGGATACGATTAAATCCTTCTTACAGAGTGATTTGATTGACCAAAGCTCAAGCCTTGACACATCTAATGATTCTTCAGCAGATGTGCACGGGTCACACAGGCTGGTGAGTTTAGTGGACATTTTAGTTTGTGAATTCGGTTAAGGGCGAGTTCATCATCATTGAAACACAAACGTATGCGTTACTGGGTATGTCATCGCATGCTTTCCCGATGCTCAGTGATGAGTGCTAGCTGTGCTCTTTGTAGAAGGCTAGGGAGTCATGACTCAGTGTCTCACCTTGAAAACAAGCCAGTGTGCCCCAGCATGGTGCAACACACTCACCTGACTGATAGGTCGCCCGTGGCCAGAAGCCTCGAGCGCAAGCCCACACTCAGGGAGTCTGTGGCTCAAAGCCAGGCCTTGCTCTGTGCCGTAGCCCCGGTGTGGCTTCTGTGTTTTATAAAAAGTTCAGGATTAGCCTAATCTGGTTAAGTGATTTGAGTTCACTTCACATGCTCTTAGACAGAAAGATTAATGAGCAGCTCAAACAAAAGTCGGGTCATTGAGCAGACCGACGACTTCCTGTCAGCGTATGTGTTTTGAAGGAACTATTTAATTTAAAATTTTCGAACGCATGTTTTAATAGCTTCATAATAAAACTCACGAGAAACTCACTAATAATCAAGTCATTGAAGTCTTGACGCAATCGAGGCAAATGGAAGTGCAGTTGATTGATGAAGTTTCTTCACAGCTGATCCAGGAAACAATCATCCCTTCGGTTCAACGCATGTCTCCATCCGCCCCTTCGTGTCCTGACACTCTTGCTTTTCTCAAGCCTTCCGCTTTCCTGTCTTTGCTCCTCCCACTCCGTTTGTGCGTTCACACACACGCACTCGAGTGTTAATGTGAGTAGTTGAGCGTGATTGAGGGAACGCATGCGCGTGAGCGTGCGTGAGGGCGCTCGTGCACGCCGGTCTCGGTGGGAGGGTAACGGGTGCTTTGTGAGCCATGGCTGTCGCTGACATCGTCATCACGGGCCACTTTTCACACACACGCACATACCCAGTCACAGAAATAGCTGATCCTCACATTATCCACACAGCACAGGCAGCATTCCTGCCTTCTGCACTTCACAAAACAATATCGCCATACTTTGGACGCCTATTACTGGAGTTCCGTTGGGACCACTGTTTGAACCCCTCCTCTCGTGAACCTTTTTAAGCCCTGCTCCTCAAAATGGAGCACAGGGGAGGCTCTCGTCGGAGGGGTGAGTTGAATTCTTTTTTTCAAATATCCTGCATTTTTTCTTGACTGAACACGATTATATTTTAGCAACATAAGTAAGTGATATACTGATAAGTTGCGTGTCTCTTTTCTTCTTGGAATAATATGTCAAATCATTTCGGACTTGACTGTGTGCATTTGGTTTCATGATTCTTGTTAATAGCTTCTCGACTGTTGACGACTGCAACATTTGTCATTGACAAATAATCTACAATATATACTGCAGTACTACATATGGTTGATGCTATATTTTTTTACTTACATAGAACTTTAGGCTTGTTTTTTTTTTTTTTTTGTACTGATTGAACAAAAAATGCCGATCATGCTGACACAAAGGCCGAGTCTAAATCCTCCAATAAATTTAATTTTGTTGGGAGTGATTTTTGATTCTTGACATCTGGGAGTTGTCATCTCTCCAGCATGCTGACTGTATCGTCACTCGCTTATGTTTGTAGAGTGCGCCATGAGCTAACTCTGACAGCGTTAGGCAGCTTAGGCATCATCACAGTGCACAGCTTAGCCGATATAAATAGGATGCCCGGTCATTTATTACCACAGTGACCAGAGAAGCTGACCTAACCATTAGCGGATCTTCAATGTTCCCGCTACCTGATGTCAAACCTGTACCGATCAGAAAGCACTGAGCTAATGGATTCTGTTCCTAGCCCAATCTATTCGGTGCCTCTTTTAATCAGAGATGTCATCATTCATACAAAACTGAAGGAGAAAGTTCAAGCTATCGCATATAACAATCGGTCTTCCTGTATATTCATTTTTATGGCTCAGTTTTGACGAAACACATCTCTGTACGCCCGGACCACCTTGCTGTGGTCCACTGGGAATGCTTGTTGCACACTATTTTGAAGTCTCCACAATCACGAGCCGTGGCTGGTGCTCCCTCAGGAGTTGGACCTAGCTCATTTTTCCAATTGCCCTCTTCGTTTTTAGTCCTCAGGGATTTTGAGGGGAACGTGTTTTTTTTTCACTTTGGTTTTTCATTGCTGAGATGGTCTGGAAGCTAATTAACTCTAACCTACGGCGCTTTTGGAAATTCTCTGAGAACGGGTGTGTTCCGAGTGGTAGAGTGCACTCCGCTGTCATTAGTTTTGGAACGCAGCCAGCACCGGTGCACAGTGTCCCCAACCAGAGTGCCTATTGCCCAGCGCCATTTTTGGTGCACTCTGAATAGCTGAATGACAAATTTGAGCAGCACTCTTAAGTTTCTGAAGTGGGTTAGACAGATTTCGGATTGAGCTATTGCCCCTCCGAGCCCCAGTGTAGCACCACGCATGCTTTGGAGTACCATTTAGGGATGGGAAGAATCATGGATTTTTCGCTACTGTATATCATGATGGAGATGTAAGCTGAATCTATGAATACATTTTGATCGATTACCAAATAATGCAGTGCTGACAGAGTGAAAAAGGTGAAACACACCAGTCAGATGGAGCCCGGAACCCAGGGGTGTAAAACAATTTTTTGTCAAGGGCCACTTTGGAGTTACGTCTTCCCTCGAAGGGCCGTTATGGCATTGGAACCAAATAAATGTTTAATTGTCTCATTATTGTACACAAGAAATTGATGGATTACTAGTTTTGAAATCTGTCCATTTAACAATCGTAGTTTGTCAAAGGGAGTGTAAACAGGGTAATGAAATTATTGCAAAATCTCAACAGTCTTTATTACACATGACAATTTGACATTTCGGAACAGATTTTAGCAAGATTCACACAAGTTGACATGTGATTTGCTTTCGCGGGCCACATAAAACAACATGGAGGGCCGGATTTGGTCCCCGCACCTCGAGTTTGACACGTGAGCCTAAACACAAAATGGTTTTGCGTTTGTACAGGTGACGGCGTCCCAAAGGAAAACAGCCCCTTCATCAACAACACAGACAACGACAAGAGTAGCAGTTACGATGGCACCAACATGGCACTTTTTGAGGTAAGCGCCCATATTTGGGCCTCCTACATAAAACAATGTAAGTTTGCCTGGCAGAAGCAAGTTTTACGGCGACCTTACAGGGGAAACAGATTGTGTTTATGTGTTTTGGTGAGACAATCCACTTCAAAAAAAAAGTTTCAATTGTTCTAAGGTAGTTCTCGGTCACAAGATCAGTGTTTCATAGTCACACTTGGGTGGTCAGTCAACAATGTTCGCCGTCGCCACCTCTGGCCCCATTTTGGGCTGAACACAACGCATAAGAAACGAAAGTAACATCACATCTTGAGAAAATCTGCTTCTTCTCTCATCTGGAGCTTCTCTTTCTAGTCAGAACAAGGCAAAAAGTTTCCACTGATACAAAGAAGTCATATTCTTGGACTCTAATTAAATTTTCTCCTCGTTAAGCAATGTAAATATGAATGAGCTTATTTACCTTGAAATCTCGATCCAGCTGAGGCGCTGCCAAGTGCGTTGCTCTGCCTTCTGGCTAACCTTGCTGGTTGGTGATCGCTGGACTTTGTATTGATTTAATTAGAAGGCATAACCTTAACTTCATAAACCCTCCGTAAGCCTGATCAGGTCATGTTGCTGTTTGCCAAAAGGTTTGCGTTTTTGTTTTTGACATTTGTCAAGGATTGGGTTTTATCAGTTTCATTTTTTCTGAGCGACGTCCTGTCTCGGTCTGTTTTTTTTTTTTTTTTTTAAATACATTCACCTTGATTCTTAGCTTTCTTCCAATTGCAGGAGGAGATGGACAGCAACCCCATGGTGTCATCGCTTCTCGATAAACTGGCAAACTACACAAATCTCACGCAGGGAGCCCAGGAACACGAGGAGGCCGATGACGACGAGGGCTCCAAAAAGAAAGCCATCAAGGTGACTTCAAAATTGTTCCCTAAGCTCTCTGTGCAATGTTTGAATCTTCGGTGGGTAAGGCGAGTGATGATTATGTATTTTCTAGACTTGCGGAGCATAATGCAACCTATGACTCGTAATGTCTTATTGATCTGGGGGGAATGCACGTTCCCTCTTTGACCCGTGACCCCGTTGTTTCGCTCATGAGACAGCGGTCATCATCTATAAACAGTCTGGTCCTGAGTTTATTACTGAGTCAGCATAAGCCTGCGTGTGTACAATTATTATGATTATTTATTTTTTTTGTCAACACAAAATTTGTTGTAATGACCGGGTGTAATTTCGCAATCTCTTCCACGACCTGCTTTCAACGCTTGTATTTATCTGACGCTTACTTTCCCTCCGTCTAGAGTCCTCAAATGGGAACTTTTATGGGCGTCTATCTCCCCTGCCTCCAGAACATTCTGGGAGTCATCCTTTTTCTACGCCTTACCTGGATCGTCGGCACGGCCGGCATCTTAGAGTCTCTGGCGATAGTCGGCTTGTGCTGCTCTTGTGTGAGTATTCAACCAAAACGTGTTTCGCATTTGTGCAGCATTGGTGCATCAGAGCTGGAAGAGATGGCCCCAAATTCCCGCCCCAAATTTCTTATAGCTGCTATTCTTTAAGAGACCAAGATGGATCGGTGACGGCCCGTCATCGATCGAGAACTTTTCAACTCATGTCATCCGCACTCGCAAGACTCGTCATATGGCCCCACTCTTAACATTTGTTTTTTTTTAATCAAGAGATTTAGAGCAGTCACGAGCAGGATTATATAAATTTGTGTGTGTGTGTGTGTGTGTGTGTGTGCGTGTTTCCCTCTGTCTGTCTGCCTTAATGAAGGACGAAGCGTTCCACTCCCCACGCGCAACGCATAATCCCCAACCATCTGCAAAGTGTCAGAAATACTGCGATGTGCACTCTCACACACTTGCCGCAATTTCCCAATCCCGCGTCAGACAATGGATTACCTCCGATTAATCGGGGAAAGTACATGCAGAAACCTCGGGCGCAATCTCAGCAAAATGCTTTGCGTCGCCTTCTCGAAGACACGCTCCCTTACACTTCGTGACCATCGCATTCACACTTTGCCACGACCGGTTTACGAATGATATTCGAAATACAACCGATTGGAAATACAATCTTCTTATTTCGTCATTCCAAAAAAAATGTGTGCAATGTATTGATGATGTGAAAGAGTCGCTCACAGCAGATGTCGCGGACTCTGATGAGATTTAAATGTCGGACGTGACACTCAACTCCCACGGCAAGGCCGCATGCGCTTTGAAAGGTTCGTTGCCGTTACGTAATAGGTAGAAGAAAGAAGGCTGATCTTAGTCAAATAGATTAATGTTCATTTTGATTACTTGGACCACATACTCTGGATTGTTTACACGGTCCGTGTGCTCGTAGGTCATAGTTTGCGCAGTGTAGTCCAAATAAATAGCCTTCGGAGAGGGTGTAGGGGGGCAAGAGCAAAAAGTTGTGGAAGAATTTACTGTATTTAGCTTAGAGGAGAGTCATGGTTGCTTTGTTCAAGTGAAGTAAATATACCAAGCTCTGACTACTTTTCTTTGTGGTATCTTAAGTCAGGCGTTCCTGGTAGAGTGCAAGTCAAGTTGTATAGCTTGGGATTTAGGAGGAAGTGAACGGTAAAATTAACGGGTAATTGGCTTTACTCCAGCCTGTCTGCCGTTTTAAACCGGATGGTCTTCGAAGAGCCGGAGGTTTATCTTGGTCACGGATAGTCACGGGCGCTGCTCAGGTCCTCGCTGCTCTCCCTATCGCTCTTTCTCCTTTTTTTTTCTTTTCCATGACCTCACCTTCACGTGTCCGCCCCCCTCTTGATGTGTTATTGTTTAAGTTAATTTCAGCTCCATGTCACTGTTATCTCGTGCCCTGTCCTTCCTCTCATTGAGAGGCTCTCGGGTGATTTTCCGACGAGCGTTTTGCAGCTACACAATGACTGATTTCACGGGAAAAGCTTGTACGCATTACCAATCCAAGAGACTTAGCGCGTAAGCCTTTCAAGATGCTTTTTAACAGGCGAAATGATGGCTTAAGCCACCCAAAGACTCCAACTCTGTGTATTATGTCATTATGTCAGCATGGAAAAAAAAAAAAAAAAAAGTAGTGACACTCTCAAGGTGACAGCCAAATGTTGTTTTTGATGGAAAGTCCACAATTCGTCCATAAGGACAAAAGACCAAATGTGAGCTTTTGTTCCCGTGTTCTCCTTCCAGACCATGCTGACAGCCATCTCCATGAGTGCAATTGCGACAAACGGCGTCGTGCCAGGTGTGATACCGACTCATTCGTTCATGATCACTCGCTGGAAACGTTTTCCCAACTTAAATTTTTTTCCCCCCCCACAGCGGGAGGTTCCTACTATATGATTTCCAGATCACTTGGCCCCGAGTTTGGTGGAGCTGTCGGTCTCTGTTTCTACCTGGGTACGACTTTTGCGGGCTCCATGTACATCCTGGGTACTATTGAGATTCTATTGGTGAGGAAACACGCCACGCGGCCGGGGTCGTTTTTGACCGCGGTGTTGCGTAACAAATATTCCTCCACTTCCCCTTCAGACCTACATTGTGCCGAAGGCGGCCATCTTTGTGGCGGAAAAGAAGGAGGACCAAGGCGACGCCCTCCTGAACAACATGCGCGTCTACGGCACGTGCTGCCTGACGCTGATGTCCGTGGTTGTCTTTGTGGGAGTCAAATATGTCAACAAACTTGCCTTGGTCTTCCTGGCCTGTGTCATTCTCTCCATCCTCGCCATCTACGCCGGCGTCATCAAGACCATCTTTGAGCCGCCCGACTTCCCGTGCGTCAAGCGTACATCTTCTTTCGCAGATTCAAGTGGTTGAGTTAGCATGCAAGTAGCGTGACGGACTCTTGCTCTCTCTTCTTTCTTGACATAGCGTCTGCATGTTGGGAAACCGCACATTGCAGAACCACAACTTCGACAAGTGTCTTAAGATGGACATGGTGGATAATGTGACTGCCACCACGCAGCTGTGGAAGCTGTTCTGCAACGGCCCTGATTTCAACGCCACCTGCGACGAGTATTTCCTCAACAACAACGTGACCCAGATTCAAGGCATCCCGGGACTTACCAGTGGGGTTATTTCAGGTGTGAACGCAACCTGCGCTTGCTTGATTTGAGTGGTGTGTGAAAATGTTGGTCGTTTGTATTTGGAGGGTGTTTTCGTGAATCCTAGTTGGCCATACAGCCCTCATTTCTGTTTCACTGCATGTGCTCTGTTTTTTTTAACCCTTATTTTCATTGTTATTTCAAATAAACACTTAGCTTCTCACTTGCAGATTCGTTTATCTGGATGTTTTGAATGTATGGTCATTACATTTCCAAAATGAAGGTTTCAAAAAGGCCTTTCTTTCTGAATTTCTCTTTCGCTGACCATTTCAGAAAATATGTGGTCGGAATATGGGCCGCTGGGCATGTTGGTTGAAAACAAGAAGTTGTCATCGGTTGGAGGAAGCGATCCCACGCAGGACATCGACCTGCCCTATGTCGTCAATGACATTGCTTCCTTCTTCACGCTGCTTGTCGGGATCTACTTCCCCTCTGTCACTGGTGAGAGCGCTACCAACCAAACACCCACAGGTTGTTCAGCGGTGGGCCTCATGTTTTTACAAAGGCGTTTTTGTTTTTGTGACCTCTCAGGTATCATGGCCGGTTCTAATCGATCGGGTGATTTGCGAGATGCCCAAAGGTCCATCCCAGTTGGAACCATCCTGGCTATCTTTACCACCTCCATCATATGTATCCTTTTAATATTCTTACTCTGAGACTAGAGTTCGTCAGACCGATAATCAGTTCTGCCGGTTGAACACATAATTCTTACTTCATTGTTCCGTTGACTCCATCGACCACGCTTGCGTAACGTAATGCAATGCACTGTACTTTTTGAAACATCCGTGAAAATAGCGAGATTGTTAATTTTGTGAAGTGACTTGTATAGTTGGAGTCAGTGAGCGCTTAAGAACGCTGTCACACATCACACTGTGAAAGCGTAACTCGGTGGAAGCATGAAGTGCAACCTGTGTAAATAGCAGCGGACCCTGGAACAGTTTTGTGGTGGCACAAATCAAGCCCGAATGAGAAAAAAAAAAAATCAAATCCGACGACAACATTATGGAGAGCGTATTCTCCTGAACAGTTTGCCTCAGATTTCACCTGTGTGGTGCTCTTTGGTGCCTGCATTGAGGGCGTTTTACTTCGAGACAAGTAAGACTTTGAAAACACACACACACACACACACACACACACACACACACACACACACACTTTGCCACATCCTGCGCGCGTTTCAAAATCGGCTGATTCGAGTCATTTATTTGACCAAACCGGTTCACATTTCTTCATTCCGTTCGTTCAGCACACGATGCTTTATTGTTCATGAGAATTCAATCCCAGCGCTTATGAGTCTTTTGGGCTTTTCAGAAGACTTACGACAGTGCTTCAAATTCATCATTTTGTATCGATGAAAAGAGAAAGACTGATATAACAAAGATGGAGTGAAGAGAGAGTGCATTCTTTCCCTGAGAGTTCAAATTGTCTCCTGGTATTTGGAGCGCTGCCAACATGCCATTCCAACACATTATGCAGCGACGCATTCCTTGTTTTGTTTTTGTTTTGGTAGGTTTGGCGACTCCGTCAAAGGCAACCTTGTGATTGGCACGCTGTCGTGGCCTTCACCTTGGGTCATTGTCATTGGCTCCTTCTTCTCTTGCTGTGGCGCGGGGCTCCAGAGTTTGACCGGTGCCCCACGCCTGCTGCAAGCCATCGCACGAGACGGCATCGTACCTTTCTTACAGGTAAGACACCGACCCGTGGGCAGTCGGTGCAAGCAATCTCTTCGCCTTCCACACTTTCGCCATGCACCATTTTAGGTATTTGGTCACGGAAAGGCCAACGGAGAGCCGACCTGGGCTCTCCTACTGACCGCCGGCATCTGCGAGATTGGAATACTCATCGCTTCTTTGGATGCCGTGGCGCCGATCCTCTCCATGTGGGTGTCTCGCTGCCTCCTTTTCAATTCCCCGCTTCTTGAGCCTCGACGCGGGAGGTCACGAGATGGCAATCCAGATGAATGAATCTTGGGATCTGTTCTCCTCATGCAGGTTTTTCCTCATGTGCTACCTGTTTGTCAACCTGGCGTGCGCCGTTCAGACTTTACTTCGAACCCCAAACTGGAGGCCGCGCTTCAAATATTACCACTGGTCAGTGATTTATTATGATGCCAACTGCTGTATGTTCCTGATGATCCGTTTCGCTTTTCATTCACACCCGGACACAAACTCAACCCCATTAAGATTAATTCCACAGCAAAGCCTGTGGAAAATTCCCCCTCGTGTCCTGAGAATGTCATCACTTTGCTCCGGGTTTAAGCCGTCAGCTGTCCATTCCGAAATGGGTTTATTTGTTCCTCCACCAATGAGGCAAAAGCATGGCACCGTTCTATAAATAGATGGCTTTTGAAATTAGTGGATGAGAGTTGTTAATTGTTTTTTTTTTTTTTGTTTTTTTCCAACAGGGCTCTCTCTTTTCTGGGAATGAGCTTGTGCCTGGCTCTCATGTTCATTTCGTCCTGGTATTATGCCATCGTTGCCATGGTCATCGCCGGCTGCATCTACAAATACATTGAATACAGAGGGTGAGAATGACTGGTGATGTCATCCAATTTTAATGTGCACCGAAATACTTTTCAAGTGAGAAGACGCCTGGCGCCATTTACACAGAGTATTGTATTGTATTCCATTATTTCTGCGCAGGGCAGAAAAGGAGTGGGGCGACGGCATCCGCGGCCTTTCGCTCAACGCCGCCCGTTTCGCCCTCATTCGTTTAGAGGAGGCTCCCCCGCACACCAAGAACTGGAGGTACAGCATAGCCTGAGTCAGCATCGATGTAACGTTGTGGCATCTGTGAAACCGTGTGACTGATGGGCCAAACTTAAGAAATATGCAAGTCAGCAAAAAGTGATTCCTTTCCTCTTTCCATCAATCCAGGCCTCAGTGTTTGGTGCTGTTGAATCTGGACTCAGACCAAGCGGTGAAGCATCCGCGCCTGCTGTCGTTCACCTCTCAGCTGAAGGCCGGAAAAGGCCTAACCATCGTGGGAAATGTATTGGAGGGGACTTTTCTCACAAAGGAAGCCGAAGCAAAAAAGGCCGAGCAGGTATGACAGGAGACCACCACGAAAGAGGAGAATTCATGACACTGTGGACGAATATTTCATGTGTTTTTCACTGAAATTCCCTCCAGAACATCAAGTCTTCCATGACGGCAGAGCGGACCAAGGGTTTCTGCCATGTTGTCGTTTCCTCCAACCTCCGAGACGGGGTCTCCCATCTAATCCAGTCGGCCGGGTTGGGCGGCATGAAGCATAACACGGTCCTAATGGCCTGGCCGGGAACCTGGAAGCAGTCCAATGACCCGCAGTCGTGGAGGAATTTCATAGGTACAGAGCAGACGCCGAGGATGATGGCAAAGCTCCAATGCAAATCAATTATTTGGAGTACGGCTCACATCCCGGCTTGGGCTCCGGCTCACGTGCCAGTCTGAATGAAATATGCAGAGCCAAATGGGATGACGCCCGCCGAATAATGGGATGTTGCTTCTCCATCACGGTTGGGAAGGCTCTCGTCATTGCTCTCACCCCGTCCTTGTCTTCCCAGAGACGGTGCGGGAGACCACGTCCGCGCACCAGGCCTTGCTTGTCGCGAAGAACGTGGACAGCTTCCCCACCAATCAAGACCGCCTCGGCGAGGGAACCATCGACGTGTGGTGGGTGGTTCACGACGGAGGCCTGTTGATGCTGCTGCCTTTCCTGCTGCGACAGCACAAAGTAGGTTATGGACGCGTGACACTTCCTCTTTCGCTTTGTAGGCTTGGAAAGTAGACGGAGATACAATATACAATCAATAAAGGTCATCTTTTACAAATATTTCAACAACTGTCCTTCAGGTGTGGAGAAAGTGCAAGATGCGCATTTTCACCGTGGCCCAGATGGATGACAACAGCATCCAGATGAAAAAAGATCTCCAAACGTTCCTTTATCACCTGCGGCTCAACGCAGAGGTGGAAGTGGTGGAAATGGTAAGACCCGCGTGTGTCATGTTTCCGTGAATTGTGACGCAACACGACGGTTCTGCAAAAGGCGGTCGAAGAGAACCCGTGGCGAGGTTGCGCTCGTTGAAATCGGCCATTGAACCGAACCTTCTTCTGCGTGCAGCATGATAATGACATCTCGGCCTTCACCTATGAGAAGACTCTCGTGATGGAGCAGAGGTCTCAGATGCTGAAACAGATGCAGCTATCCAAGACTGAGAGGGAGCGAGAGGTACCACCATCCCTCATTTTTTTTTTTTTTAACTCCATTGACAGTTTACTAACTGACCGAATTGGGCTCTTTGATTATATGTTTTTTTTTTGCTCCCCATTGATAAATGGCACACATCCAGCATCATCACATCACATTACATCAGCTCAGATGAGCTCGACAATCAGTTAAAAATCAAACTAAGGTCTCAACTTTACCATCCGTCATCACAGTCCGTGGCCCTTTTTGACAGTTGGTCCCATTTGCTTTTTATCTGCAATCACCTTTCGGGGGGCTATGGCGCACTACTACTCAGATTCAGAGTATCACTGACGAATCACGTAACTCAATCCGGAGGAAGAACCAAGGTGCTGCCGAGGGCGCAAGCCTCAGCCGGCAGTCCTCTCCGACGGAGGACACGCAGGAGGATGAGGTAGTCCTTTTGCTTTGTCCACCCCACTGTCCCCTTAGTGGCCCGGTTTCACAAAGTGTCATCTACGGGCTACCGTGCAGCCTGTGTGTCGACGATACCACAAGAGTACTTTCCGTCAAAACGTGCGTTCTAAATAATAATGGCGCAGTTCAACACAAGAGCTCTGTGGTGCTTTGTGAATACCAACCTGTCACGCTCCCAAGAATGCCGCCCGAGACCATCTGATATCCAACCTACATTCAAATCTAACCCCAAATACCCCTTGACGAAAGACTGGACAGTATTGTTCCCAAAACTGACCTCACTCCTTTTTCCTCCGAAATGGAGCTTACACCATCTCAGGTTAATTTGTGCTCCTTTATTTCTCTCAATTAACGATCTGGTTGGTCTAACCTCCACTTGAGCTAACAATACTGTCCATTTTGGTCATACACAGTCACTGCGCCGTTTTACCCCGCCCCCTCCTGCACTTATGACCTAACCACGGTCATTATGATGCGATATAGGTGTCGGTGCAATGTTGTCGTGAACGTCAATAAATTTTTGGGAGGACTATAAAGAAATCATTTGGATCAATAGCGGGGGAATGTGGTCCATTATCTTGCCTTGTTTCTTTTATATTGTATGGTGGTCTGTGTCATGTGTCGTGCGTTTCCATATCCTCCTCCTCTGTTTTGTATCCCTTCAGTACATTTTATGTTTGCTCCTTCTCTGAATTTCGGGCAATCATCCCATCTTCCCGGCGTTCTTTCATGAAATTTTCATGACTCTTGCACATTGATTTTTCTTTCTCTCTTTGTGCTACGCATCGCACGTATCCTCGATTCTCGTTTCTTTACTGCCGGACTTCCTGTCTGCCAACCCTCGGCGTTGTGTCTTGAAGCCACGTCTGTTTCCGCCAGGCCCAACTGATCCATGACCGAAACACGGCCTCCCGCGCCTCCATGAACGACAAGTCCGAAGCCGTCCCCGATCGGGTTCACATGACCTGGACCAAGGACAAGCTTTTCACAGAGCGGAACCGCAACCGCGAGTGCAACTCCAACGTGGCCATGCGAGACCTCTTCAACATGAAGCCGTAAGTTGCCTTTAGCTGGTGATCCCTCAAATACAGCAGACGTTTCATGGGAAGGTTTTTAGCCATTTTCATTTATTTCCGACAAAGAGAACACCGTCTTGTGTGATGTCATACATAGAGGTGTTGTATCCCTTTTCCCCTCAAGATTTTGGCTGAATTCCGAATTTGACACTCTCAGGGGCGTTCAACTTTTGAGATGCTTCTGTACTAGACACCAAAAAAGGAACAAACCAACAAAAAAAATCATGTGAAATAGTCAAGATTGCACGGCATGAGCATTCAAGCTGCACGGGTGAGCGTGCACGCATGTGTGTGCCTTAACGGCCGTTTCAGTCTGAGTGCACGGCTAGCCCCCTCAGCCCACTCATGTGGACTAACTCCTTGTCTATCATCATTAAGTCCTCACACGACTGTCTCCCTAAAAGAGCGACACCTTTTTCTTTTCCACGGCTCGCTGGACATCAGACGGGCCAGCCAAGTGCGACTTTTGAGGCTTGCGTGGCCAGTAGCGGGGCTGATTTTAGATGCATCTAAAGGCTGTCTTTGTTTTGTCCCATTTTTCTCCTTCTAGAGAGTGGGGGAGCTTGTAAGTTGCATTCTGTTGGCCCCGAGACCGCATGCGTGTGTGCCACTTTAATCAGTGTCCTTCCGTGCATGTGCATGTGTGTGTTGGTGTCGTGCGCACGTGCATGAGTATACCTCGATTAACTTGCAGCTAATATGACCGTGAGCAAAATTGTGCTTTCCATCTGCCATTTAGTGGAGTAAATGTAAAATTGGGAGTCGGGATGGGCATTGAAATGAACTCTCAGGGTGAAAAAACAAAAGTCAAATGCGAGTCTTTATCTGGAAAGCTGAATTTTGTGAACAAGCGTCATCATTTTCATGCAGTTTGGTTTCGAGGTGTGTGTTGGCATCATTTAGCGTCAAGACAAGCGTTGACATCGACACTCAGACTTGTGTTTGTGTGCTTGTGCGTGTGAAGCCAAGCTTCACTGATACAGTTGAGGCCAAAGGTTTTTGGCAACCACCGTGATGACTAATTTTGCTGATTTGACAAAGAATAATTCGATGTACATACCAGTAATCAATTTATTTTAATTTTATTTTAAATTGTAATTAAATGTGACAAAAGTCAGCATTTGCAATGCTGACCCCTTTTTCAGACCTTTTAGTTTTTAAGGAACTCCTCAATTTCTAAATGCTCATGACCAACACTATGAAAGCCACATAATGAGTGAAACATGAAATTAGAGTCAAAGCTAAATCCGATGGCCACAACTGTACTTGGTGATTCGCTTTTATGTCTTACACTGTCAACCTTTTGTGCGTCGTCTTTGATTCGTATTTTATGAACATTTGACCGGTGACTGTGTAAAAGCGCTGTACTGACTTCGTCTTGTTAACCCAGAAACCAGACCAACGTCCGCCGCATGCACACGGCCATCAAACTGAACGAGGTGGTGGTCAACAAGTCCCAGGGAGCCCACCTGGTTCTGCTCAACATGCCGGGACCACCCAAGAACCGGGGAGGAGACGAGAACTGTATCCTTTTATGTGTACCTTTTCGTCTTCCGAAAAATTATTATTTTTTAAGTCACGTCAAATTGTAGCAGGGCCTAGCTTATGCTAGGCGGGCCTCGATTGCTGACTAAAAAACTCACCTACTTGCTGTTTTATGCTTCGGCCACAAACCTCTTTGGGTCGATGTCAATTACTCGCTGACAGAACTGGCCTCCCCAAAGAGGTTTGGCATCGCCTATGGATACCACCAGATTGCGCCAAAGCAACATTTTAGTCTTGCGAGCCGTTTTTGATGACCATATGCTGCTCAAATATTAGAAATTGAAACATTCCGTAGAAATGTTGTGTCACCATGATTGTTTGATTTATCGTGTTATCTAAAACGTTATATGCTGCTTCACTTCCTTCCTCTCAGATATGGAATTCCTCGAGGTTTTGCTGGAGGGTCTGAACCGAGTCCTGCTTGTCCGAGGCGGTGGGCGGGAAGTTATTACAATCTACTCTTAGAGGGGAGGGGTGGGGCAAAAACAAAAAAAACAATAAGAACCTCCCACCCCATTCTGTATATTATGGGCCGTCGCCTTGGATATCAGTCACCAGGCATTTATTTTGAAAGGGAGGACACTTAATTGGGTTCCTATTAAGATGGGATGGCGGAATCACTAGTGATTGATGGTTAGTCAGCGGGTGCTTGGGAAAGGAGGAGAGATGTTGCGGGCTCGCTCGCGAGCGAGGCGGGTGCACGCGAGGCCACGCTACAAAAAAAACAGCAACAAAAAATAGCGCATAGAGACACTTTATATTTTTCATTCAACTCGTGACGAGGTTATTTTGTTTGTTCACCTTCTTTCCCCTCGTTGTTGTCATGTTGTCAACACTCGGCGTTGACTGTGATGTTGCACCTCGTAGTCTCTTTTACTCTTTGGTGGCCCAAGAGAGTTTTGTGTGCTCGGTGAAGTGAAACACGTCGTAGGGAGTTGTTGTGCTGCAGCTGTGTGATTGGAGAAGCCCACCCTTTGCTGGCTTTTCTCAGCTTGTTTATCACACACGCAAACATCCTCAGCTATGAATGGCCAAAAATGTATTTACGTTTGTCATCTCCTCCTTTCTTGGATGACATCATCATTGGCCTTCGCTGCATTGAAAGAGTCAACAAAAGCACAACTCGCATCTTACACTGACAGACTTTTGCACTAACCAGAATCTTACAAGTTTGCGTTGTGGCTAGGGCACGTCAAAACCACACTATTTACCGTTTTACAGACACACACACACACACACACACACACACACACACACACACACACACAGCTTTGTGCACCTGACTGAATTCGCTGAATTGCTTAAATCCATAGAATAAGAAGAGAAAGTGCCAAAATAATTTAAAAGGAAACTGTGGAAGTCTTAATGTTACGCCCACCCCCAAATTATGATTATCAACTCATAAAAATCAACAATTTCTTTCATAGATGTGACTCAGAAATTGCGACCGTTTAAAGTTTCAAAACTCAAATTTCCCCATGGCATTTGTCCGCTCCGCAGTTTCTTTCAATTTGCAGTATTTTTTAAGTGATAAAAGTTGGATTTTCCTGCACGTCTTTGCTTGAAAATGTCCAACTTGTGAGTCCAGTGGTCATGTTCGTATATTTTTGTGTTTTGTTGTGTTTTGTTCAATTGTCGTATGGTTGAGCAGCTGTAGTTTTTCCTTACGTGAACTGAACTTCTGTTACTTTGCGTGTCTGTTGATTTTTATCAAAAGTGGCAGTTTGAACAAGTATGCGTAAATGAAGACAGCTCCATTTTACAGTACAGCTTTTATTTTTTTTCAACCCACCTGAAATGCAACCTTCCGAATACAGCAACAAACTTTTGAAGCAAGCAAGGTACATGGGAAAAAGCTGCATGACACTGTTACAGTCTTTCTTTGTCATTTTTAGCCTCACAAAGAAGTTACGCTATAAACATTGTCTCGTTTTGAGAAATTAAAACCAAAATCATGTTATTCAAGTTTATTTTTAATTCTGTTGCTGTGCTCAGTGGCACTAAAATGTAATCTTAATACCTTGAACAAAAGATGGTGCAAAAGAGTTGACCGGGGTGCTGGAGGTGTTGTTTCGCAACTCAGTGAACTGGGAGGTGACTGGAGAATGTTATCTACCTCAAAGGTGTCACGGAGGCTTGAAGACACACACACAAAAAAAATATGGACACACATTGCAGTTTCACTAAGGAGGGAAAAAAGAGGGGGGGAAAAGCCTCGGCTCTATGAGGCAAGCGGCATAGTTGTGTGTGTTTGTGTGCGTGTATGGGTGTTTGCGTGTACGCGTGTGTGCGTCTACCTGTGTGCATATGCGTGTCTGTGTGTTCTGAGAAGTGAAGAAGCTGCTTTATTTTCGTCCTGCCCGACGCCTGGTGGCCGTCACTGGACGGAACAGGAAGTCACTTTGTGGGAGCACGCGTAGAGACGGTAGCCCTGTAAATTATATTTGTGCCTCTCTGAGTAACTATTAAAAAGTGCTGAAATAAAAGCGAAGTCGTCTGTGGTCTTATTGTGCTCGCTCTGCTGCAAAGTTACTATTAAATAACTAAAAATGAAATTGCTGCGATTGGCTGGCACCGGTTCAGGGTGTACCCTGCCTCCTGCCCGAAGACAACCAAATAAAAACTCACAACAGCTAAAATGAAAGACTAGTGATAACCATGCTGAGCTTTGAAAAATGTGCAATTGTGAATCAGATTAAAGATAAATGCAATGCAACAAACTGGCCAATCAATACTTCCTTACTGTATTCAGTTCAAGTGACTTAATTTGTCCAGCAGAGGGCAGCATTGTTTTCGAATAAAATGTCAGGAATCATGGCACAACATTAGCAGCAGCATTCCTGTATGAAAATCAGTTGTTCAGTTCAAGTGACTTAATTTGTCCAGCAGAGAGCAGCATTGTTTTCGAATAAAATGTCAGGCAACATTAGATAAATACAGGAATAACATTAGCAGCAGCATTCCTGTATGAAAATCAGTTTGTGCATTTATTTAAAATGCTTAATGTCCAGTTTAAGGTCCATGTACTAATACTCTTTTTTCCCCAGCAGGACAATTTAGCGCACAAGTAGAATGACTGCAGTGCAATTGTATAGGAACTGTCTGACTAGGAATGTATTTTTCCACTACTGGTGCCAAACATATGCAGTTAAACCTTAGGAGTGGACTACTGTCCTGCACTAGTAAACCAAACAGGCCCAATGAATAGGGAGGTGTCAAGCGCGAGGCAGGGAGTTGCGCACTAGTAACCTCCTGGACCCAAAATGCCCTCCACTTGTAATCTTGCGAGGTATGTCCTCCGCTGTCATTTGTTTGCTCTTTACACTGTTGACCAAATCAATAGGGCCTATGCTTGACCCACTAAATTGTTAAAAACGGGAAAACTGAAAAGCTCAAAGAAGCTTAATGATTCATTCATGTTTGTCTTTGTCATCTGTTGAACTTTTCACTAACGAATCGCAACTGAGAAACAGCAATATTATTAGTTAGTTTTTTTTAAACTTTGTGTTTATGAAGCCAAATTTGTAATTCCTTACTCAGTAAATTACCCTTTTAAAACGGTTTAATTTTATCCGGAAACGGAAGGGTTAAAACGAAAAGCGGCAGGCAGGTGTCAAGTACGGAGAGACAGGAAATCATCAAGGACGGTCTCGCAAAATAAAATAAAACATAGTTCTCCGGCCACTATAATTCTTGCGAATCTAACTTTAGCTAGAGTTGTAGTTTGATGATGCTTGGTCCCTAGAATATTTTCTCACCCCCCGCCAAGCACACTCCACCCCCTTAGATTGACGCCCATCATGAGGAGAACAGATAATGTCCTAAAATTCTGACACCGCTGTCTTTATTCTGAAGGGTCAGCTCAAGCAACGTTAGGCAAGTAAGGCGAACTTGACGAGTGGTTCAAAGCCGCAACATCGCTGCCTGCTACCTACCGCCACCTCCTCTGAGGATCCTTTTAAGGAGAAGACGTTCGATTGCATCACAATTACAACACATTTGACGACTTTTCATTAGGGCTTCGCTGTGTCTATTTGGTGTCAAGTGAGAGAAGGTGACAAGCCAGCGGCCGCTTGGTGCAATCCGCCGGACGGACGCTCTTAACGCCGCGATGGTGCGTTTCTATTTTGCTTTTTGACGCCGCAGCGAGGACAAACGGGCTGGTGTTCTTATTTGGTGGTTTATTTCCAGCCTGATATTTACTATGATTCATCCGCCGATGTCGTAGCTGGCGGGGCAATGCACCACGACGGCGAGCGATTATCTGCAGGTGGATGGCCAACCTGACGCAAAGCCTCTGCAAAATCAACAGCTCAGAACCGCCGCCGGACATTTTTAAAGCCGAATCATGCTTCCAGGCGTAGGCGTGTTCGGCACCAGCCTGACCGCCAGGGTGATCATCCCCTTATTGAAAAATGAGGGATTCGCCGTCAAAGCCCTTTGGGGCCGCACGCAGGAAGAGGCAGAGGAGCTGGCCAAGGAGATGGACGTCCCGTTTTACACCAACCGGATCGACGACGTGCTGCTGCACCAGGACGTGGATCTGGTTTGCATCAACCTGCCTCCGCCTCTGACGCGGCAGATCGCAGTCAAAACCCTGGGTGAGTGGCCGGGAGGGGATGGTGAGGGGCGGGCGGGATGCTGCTGCCGCGGCTGCACCTGCTGCTCGGGGCTTGCCTGATGCCCCCACCCGCCGCAGCAGCAGCATCAGTCAGTGTGCTTGACTCGAAAGGTGTGGCTGGGGAGAAGGCTTGACATACGCTTGGAACCGTCCGACAGTGTGTTGACATGCCTCAGCAGAAGAATGTCAACTAACATCCACAGAAGAACTTGGCCCACTAATATAAGTATGCAAGTGTGAAAGCAGCTTATTCATTCAGGAATGTTGTGCTGCTCTTGTGCTGTATTGATATTTAGGTAGATGTCAAATTTTAGTTGAAGGTTTTGGTGTTTAAATACCGGATACAATGTTACATTCTCTTTTGTGAGTTAGTTTTATACTAAATGTCACCTGGGAGGGACAAATAATCAGCAATTTGTTGTCAAACAGGTTGGACGGTATGTATTTTTCGGTACTAGTTAACATTTTCTTTAGTTAACATGTCTGGAATGGTTTCCATTCAGGATGGACACGCACTTCAAAACTTTCTAATCATTTTAGATAGAACAACAAATATATGAAGCATTTTTTCCCCTCTCCCCAGTCGCTGTCTTTGTCACAATATTTTTCTTCTGTAAGCAAACCAGTTGAGATGGCATCAACAGCGCAGTTGCATTCACACTGGAAAGATGCAGTTGGTATAGAAGCAACAAAAAAATTGCCTCCAGAAATGTAGTCGGTAATTGATTGTCACTATATAGAGGCCGGTAATGTGGTAGATGTGAATGCTGAATACGTCCCACATTTTACATGCGGCATCCTTTCGACATTTTGTATTTTCTTCTGCTGTGTGTGTGTGTTTGTGTGTGCATGTGTCTTACAATACGAATGGCACCCATTAAATGGATCTTGTGACTGCAGCCATTGTGAAAATTACCAAGCGCTTTTAAATCAGATGACTGTGCTTGGACACACGCATGCAGTCAGGCATGTGATTTGGATGTCAACTGCTAGTCATGTTGGCCGCGTAATTTGGAAATTCAATTTAGTCATTTTGCGGGAGCTTGGGAGTGATCCAAGTTTCTCAAAAAAAAAAAAACCTTCTGCTTTGGCGCTTGGTGCATTCCCACACTGTAGTCTTGTTGACTTGAGTTAAACACTTGGGAGTGCCAACATCAGGGACTGGACCAGCGTACAATAGGCCACCGTATCCTGTTGCTCGACCTGTGTCAATATCTACAGTGCATTAAATCACAGGCTGGCTAGACGAACATCTGCTCATGCCAACACGACATAAAATGTGATTTATTGTGTGTCTTTATGGGGGTTCTTGTGTCAAGTTGCTGATATCGCTGTTGCACAAACTTGCTGATCATGAGCAAGATTATCGGTCACGTCCCAGTGTGCTTGAGTCACAAAATGTGTATAGCTGCTTGTCAATGGCCATTCTTTTCCTCCCCTTCCTCCCTGCTCATTTCCTCGTTGATTTTTTTTTTTTTTTTTTTTGTGCGAGCACTGCCCATTCCTTCCCCACCACCTTTCCTCCTCAGCCCCCACCCTCCCCTCACCCATTACAATGGCTAGCCTATGTCCAACCCCATTTACATTTTGTAGGATAACAAATTCATATCAGCGTTTGCCTATGTAGCAATGACACTTTGCTGCAATGAACAGTCGTCCTTGTCCAGCTCGAATTTTTATCCACTCCAAAATAATAAACACACTGGCAACAAAAGTGAGGGCACCCCTCAGTGAAAAGTCAGATGTGTGTATCCACCAAATTACTAACTGCCTCACTCGTCTTTTGTCTTTGACATGGGCATTTTTGCACCGTCCGCATTGGACTCTGTTATTCGCGTGACAATCTACAAAGAACATCTGGGAAAGGAGAGGTCACTGTTATTTGTGTTCGAGCTTGACCTCAAGATGTTTAATTGTTGAGGTCTTCCTTGTATGAGTCATCCAAACATGCCTTTGTGGACCATCACTTTGTGCACTCCTGAAAGAAGAAAAGTGACCTCCCACAAAATGAAAAATCATTTCCCTCCAGTAATTGGCAAACACGTTTTTTATGATGTAATACCAATATCCTCGCAAATATATAAATTGCCTTCCATCTCTTAAATGCACAACGCCCACAGAGAGCGCAGGCCATGACACCGACTGAAGCAGACTCACTTCCTGTTGCGTGTGTGATTGTGACATGTGGCCGATGCACGTGTGTGTGTGTGTGATCTGATTCCTGCGACATCGGAATTTGAACTCTGTATACAGAGACTTCCACCAGCAACTTGCTCCTTGCAAGTCCGAGCAAAATCTAGGCCCATGTCGTGTATGTACAGTATTTCAGGGCAACCAGAGATGATGTCATTTAGGTTGGTAGTTTCAGAGAAGGTCGCCGACGTGTTCCACGTGTTGTTCAGGTTCTACTAGGCCGGGTTAGTCCTTTCGACAAACCGGTCAATCTCGTTGAGCGACGTCTCTCCTCCCATTGGGATTTCTTTTGCTTTTTATTCTACCGCCTCACTACTATGACATTCCAGGGGCGTCTTATGTCACTCAGGCTTTCCGGGCGTGTTTGAAGATTGACCGTAGAATGCCTTCCCTTTACTCTGCATGTTGGGAATTCTTAAATGAGAGCATGTTAGCACTTCCGTCATTTTCTGCCAGTGTGAGCTATGTGTGCTTCCAGAGATGTGGACTTTTGGAATTCGATTGGGAAACAATCTTTGTAACGATATGAATATAAAATGGTACCTCAATTTAGAAATGTAATTTGTTCCGTGACCAATGTTGAAATGCAATTTACTCCCCATCAAGTCAAAATTCCCCATTGAAATGAACTCAAATGTCGTTAATCTTTGCCGGCACTCCGGGTGTGTGCGTGCATGCGTGCAGGAATTAGAACAGCTCATACGATCACCCCACTGGGGTCACAAATTCTGATGAAACCTAATCTACGCTGTTAACATTAGTATTTCTCTTCTCTTCAAGCACACATGAGCAATAAACCCGTTCATTACATTTCAGGGGCTTTTGTCAGCTAAAATTAGAAGGGGAAGAAAAAGCTTTTGTCGCTATTTCCTGGTTCATGAATGATGACATACGATGTTACAAATGGGCAAACATCACCCACTATGATGCCCCTTAACAGGAAAAAACAAAAACAGGAGATTAAGTTGATCCTTTGCACTATAAAAAGTGTACACAGAGGAATATATTCGTGTTGTTATGTATGTGTGAGTCAAACGCAGGTGCGAATCTGAGTACTGAAGTGTAACTGCAAAAAGAAGTTTCAGGTGCTATTTCTGCCGTTTCGATATTGTAGGCTGAAGGAGGAAGTAGCGAAGCCTCTCAGTACCACGCGCGGCGGTGAGCAACAGGCATGGAAATCTGACACTTTTCCATCGCAGTCGATCCACAGCATCATAACTTGTTTGCAAAAAGTACAGTATTGTGTAATCCAGTACGTTCTGCAGTCATGCGAGGCTAAATTTAGATATTTTGTGAATGGTTAAAGACTGCTCAGTGAAGCCGCCGCCAAGTTGTAGAGTGACGACAGTTTGGTGATTCAAAATGTGTCCGTCAGGTTACTCATAATGAATGCGGTCATACGTCAGGGGCAGAGAGCACTTCCGCTAACCTTTCTAAATGATACACGCGTGATTCACATCACCGTCAGCGGTCCAAATAACCGCTCCGTTGAGTGAGTGCATTTGTTCCCGATCTCCTAAGAAAAAGGTATTTGGAGAGCCATGTTTTCTTTGGAGTGACAAGACAACATTGTAACTTTTTGAAAGGCCTGCGGCTTGTTCAATCTGGCATAAAAGTACGCAGCATTTGATAATAAATAAATAACCCCCCCCCCCCCAACAATCAAATGTGGTGGTAGCGAACAGCTAAATTGTTTATTTACAGTATCCTCTCGCAGACACCTGCTGCGAAGACTACCCAAAGAGCTATTTATAATCCGGCCGCAAAGGGCAAGTAGGTGTCATCATACGTACGTGTCCTGACTCCTGACTGCAGATGGTGTTGCGCAATCACAGTTCGGACCAGTGATGAGGTCTTTGGGAGAAAACAAAGCGAGTAAATTCATACCAAAACATCCGGTGTGACCTCTAATATTGTCTACAAATGAAAAGAAAATCCAGGCAATAGTGTGTGTGTTTTTTTTTTACACCAATACATTCAATACGCTTCCAAGGATTTCAAATTGTTTATTTTGGACAGATTGTTTTTAAATTTTCAATTTTCATGTATCATGACTCTCCCCCACACACCGAATTGTCTTTGTAGATGGAATTTGCTCCGCCTGCCTTTGGCTTACATTTATCAGTCATTTCAATTTGGCGGGGGGTCAAACCTAACCAGGAAACTGTCTCAGATAGCTGGCTGTAGTAAGCTGCTATAAGTTTCTCACTGGCTCGTGTTCATGTTCTCCGAGCCGTCTATTTTCATGCTAATGGCTGCTCTGGGAGAGTAGTCGCGAAAGAGCCCCAGAGACGGAGAAAATGATGATGGAGTGACAACGAAGAGCAAAGCGGAGAAAGCTTTGGCTTCCTGTGAAATTGCTTTTGTCTGTTTGATGAATGGCTGAGCAGGGGACGCTCTTTCAGGCAGCCTGACAAGTGAGCATTCTTGTATTAAGGAGAAAACCTCCCGATCACCGCCCCCTCTCGTTGCTGCCTTCCTCTACCGCGGACCTGCTCACAGGAAATGTTGATTATGGTGGTGAACTTGGGGCTTTTTTGGTTGAGGGATCTCGTTGTGCGACTAAATACTGACTTTAACGGTCCAACAAGGAGAGTGTTTTGGTTTTTTATATCGAACCACACGATTTGTAGTTCATAGTCTGATGACAGAACACCAAACAGCTAAGCTGACTCGAGTTGCCCTGAACTTATTTGTGATTGTTACATTTTTCCCACACGCTTTAAACACATTTATTGACCATTTAAGGGTATAGTTATACACCAAAATGGTCAACCAAATGATGTA